TTAATTGCCTGTATGCAGTAATAAATCTTACAGCCCCCACGAGGATTCAACATTGTTTTTTTTTTTTTTTTTTATCTATCACCAGGCTGGGCTAATGACCCTGCTGTGTACATTGACTGTACAGTATTGAATCCTCGTGGGGGCTGTAAGATTTATTACTGCATGCAGGCAATTAATAACAGTAGATGGTGCCTTCCCACAGATGTCAAGCAAGAAGGAATAAAAAGTGCAGGTACAGCAGTGGAAAAGCCTGTGTGCGATGCAGTCTGCAAATCTCAGGATTTCCATGCTTCACCAAGCATAATGTTGATGCTTTTATGGCCCTCCAGAAAAATAAAGAACTCTGTGATGTGATGGCAAATAGAGCGGTGCAACATGAGAACCACCGTGTCAGCATTTAGGTCAGATTTATAGTTTTACCTGCCTCATCATTATGAGTACAAAATAAAAAAAACATCCCAAAATAAAAAAAGGGAACATTACAACTTAATACAAAAATCTCAATCCTCTCAGCTTTGATACTGTAAAAATGTATTTTTTGTATTAATGTATAAGTTTTAAAAAAAAAATCTCACCAAACCCTCCATCCTCTGGTCTCAGAGAGGTGCAATGCGATCTGACCTCCACCTCCTGTGTGGATGTTTTAGGCAGAGAAACAGGAGAGGCTGTAAGTGGAACATGATTCTTCTCTGACTAATAAGCCACCATGCGCTCACTCTTATCGTAACGCTATTCTGGCAAAACGTTTTATGTCAGGACAAGTTTAAGCCCTTTGCATGCCTGCCAACTATTCACACCACTTAAAAGGTCTAAAGAGCATGAATCTGTAATACTTGGAAATTTAAGAGCAGCTGTAGAGCTTCTGTCTTTACTTGGTACATTTGTCATTGCATTGTCAGAGCAAGCCACAGGGAAAAGAAACCAGTCACTGTCTTTGAAGAGTGAAAAATATGTCCTTTATGCAATTCCCCAACTAAATTTAACTTGCCTCTGAGCAACTCTTGTGTCACTTTTACTATTTATATAAGTCAGAAATCTCTCTACAACATAATCATGCCATGCAGACTGTGATGAAGATAAATGGCTCTTCTCTTTCAGACCATTGTGCGTGGGAGCATGATCGGTCATGGAGAATACATCGCGGCCATGATCAATGACATGAGCCGACTGTCTGTGACCAGCTCCAACTCTCTGCGGAAGAGTAGCCCCTCCGCCAGAAAGAGGGCCCAGTCCCTGGGAAGGTTGGGGGAAGTGAATGAAGGAGATGGCTACCAGTATGAGGGACTGACACAGGATGATGATGAGGACGATGTATGTCAGGAACACTGGAGAGATAAAACCCGGAACATCCACAGCGAGACCAACACCCCTTACTTGGGAATAAAGAAAAGCATCACTCTGCAGCCCAACGGGATCTTGCCAAAGGCTAAATCGACATATGAAGTTGGTGTTAGCTCCATAGAAGGACCTATCCCAGCACCAAGCCATGGGCCGTATATGAGTAGGGAAGTGGGAAGTCCTCAAGAGAGAGTGATATGGAAAAGAGACTTCCAGCTGCCCAGAGGAATGCCACCAAACCAGAGACCCGTAGCTTGTTTTTACAGCCCAGTTGTGACTGTCCAGCAGCATCTTGGGGATAATGGAACAATCACGACGGAGCTCCAACCCAACCCACCCATGTACATGCACACTCAGAACAGCCCAGGAAGGCCGTTCTCCTCCTATGACCTAAAAGTAAGCACATTTTTGCAGATTATAAATCATTTATGCATTACATAATGTATGCATATTTTGAATGCAGTGTGTCATTTTATTAGTACTCAGCATGTTATGCATGAGCTCTGAATGCATTAAATTGATTCGTTTTTGGAGTTAAGAAGTCCTGCTTAGGTTTTGGAGCTTAGGTGAGGCGTATTATTAACTGGCTTTCAACTAAACTTGATCAAAGAGAAAACTTTTTGAGTATTTTTACTTAAGACCTGTGTTAAAAATGATTTGTGAGCTAATGAGCCTGCAGGGTTGTAAACATTGAAAGAGGACGTATTTGCAAAGATCCCGTTGGGACTTCTAAGGACATATTACAACATCTTGACATGCGTCATATCAGGCGATAGACAGTGAAAGTAAAGGACTTGATTTACGATAAGTTCTTAAGGGCCGTGAACCCCAGGCAGACAGCCAACCCCCTTTCAGCTCTCTCTCTTCTGTTATCATGCAGGCAGAATCAGCAGTGAGATACCACTCCGGGTTCCTGCCAACCGGCACCAGCAGTCCTCTTGTGGGAGGAATTAGACCTCAGCGGATGGTGCGCTCCTCGGCAAGCTACACTCTAGGCCTGTCCCCGAACATGGGACTGAGGCCCAGTGGACCAGACCCCTTTCTTAGACACTCTGGATGCCCCAATCCCCCTTACCCTCTTCAGGACAGCCCCTCTCAGCCTCGACCTTCTCCCACAGGATCATTAGCAACCAGTCCTCCAGGTACTTGTTCTCCTGCTTTTAGACCACCACTACACCCCATACCCAGACCACCTCCTGACCCACCTAAGGTGACGCATGAGCAGTTTAAAGCAGCCCTGCAGATGGTGGTAGATAAGGGCGATCCACGGACTTACCTGGAGAACTTTGTGAAGATTGGGGAGGGCTCAACGGGAGTGGTATGTATTGCAACCGAAAAGCACAGTGGAAGGCAAGTGGCAGTGAAGATGATGGACCTGCGGCGGCAGCAGAGGAGGGAGTTGCTCTTTAACGAGGTAAATGTCCCACAAGCATATCTGACTTACATGCATTACATTTGCAACAACATACGTTTAGACTTTTGTTCAGCATGTGCCCTTTGTGGGTCTAGAAGTGATTTCCAATGTGGAACTTAGCTTGATGATGATATTACATCTTTATAAAGTTGATCTGGTTTATATTTATGGTGCCAACAGGTTAGAACCAGACTCAAACAGACGTTGTTCTCAAACTTCTCAGCTTCCAATCTACAAAATACCTAAAGCAAAGACTCATGAGCCCCATTAATCGCTGGTTAAAGTATACCGACATTGGTATACCTTTCAAGATGTTTCTGAGGTTGACTTGAAACATAGGAAAGGCTGCCTATGGGACAGATCTGGTTGGCAGGCTGTAGATTGAAGAAGTCCTCTGGATGGGGGAAGAAACATTTCTCACTTAAAAAAAACTGGTCCAGATGACGTGATTTAACCTTTTTTGTTGTTTATACCAACATAAGACTCATAAACAAGGGCATAATGGCAACGCAAACAACCTTAGCATACATTGTACTATTTTATCCATTTATGACTAATGTTTGTACCTATTGTAACGACTGTAACAACCAAAATGTGCTGTTTGCACTCATTTTTAAATTTAATTTGATGTTTGGAGATCATCTTGAGGCCTGCTGACCCAAACATTGGGTCTCACTAAGTCTGAAATCCACAAGTCAGCCTCTTTCTCTGACTCGTCTTAAACAAGTAGCACCAATACAATGTTGGTGCATTATACAGAGCAGCTTTAAATCCACAGAGACATAACAAGAAATAAAATGCTTCATATCAGGGATTGTTAAAATGCTCTGTGCTGCAGGTGGTCATCATGAGGGACTATCAGCATAAGAACGTGGTGGAGATGTTCAAGTCTGCCCTGGTGGAGGAGGAGCTGTGGGTAATCATGGAGTACCTGCAGGGGGGAGCACTAACCAACATTGTTTCTGAAACCAGGTATTGTCCTGAGCATCCAGTTCAGATTCATATTTGATCATTATTTCAACCACCAGGTGGTAGTGTGGTATCAACTGGAGAACGATCAGCGTTCATCCCAAAGGCCTGTCAGCCTTCACTCCACATCTGCTGGTTTTCTTTGGAAAGACAAAAAATATTCAGAACATCAAATTAAATTGTGCGGGTTTACAAGTGAAATGCTGATTAGTGGTGGAAATTTGATGCTTTATTCTTGCTGTTCTGTTGCACACACATTGAGAATGAGCACATCATGTTGACCAACAGTGTTCATGGAAATGTAATTATTTCTAGTTGTGCCTTTCACTGTTAACAGATGTGTCGGTTGACTTTAAGGAGTAAAAATATTTCTTTCAAACCAGATGACATTAAAGAATGAACAAACTCTCACAGCCATTACTTGTCAGAGACTACAGTTGGCAGGTTATTGACAGAACAATCATGAACTAAAGTCATTTGAGCTTTTTATGGCTGCTCAGTGGTGTCAAAAACATCTTAAAGTGATTTTATTTTGTCAACATTAAAGAAACTAAAATTATTTTATCATTTTAAATGGTAAATAGACTGTATTATGGTGCCTTTCTATCTTATCAAGATACTCAAAGCTCTTTACAACACACTCTGTCCTCATTTACCCATTCGTACAAGCACTCTACTATATACAGAGACTAATCAGAGCTTTATCACATTCATACACCGATGGGACACACATCAGAGCAGTGGCATAGTCTACATTTTTGTAGTGGGTATACGTGCTTAGAAACCAAAGTACACCGGTTAGTACAATGTAATCGTCAACTTATTTTTTAAGCATATTGAACATTTCCAAATTTCTCTGTTGCTTATATTTGAATAAATGTACAAGAAACTTTGTACAACAGCTGGCTTGTGTTAAAAACTTGTTATAGAATTTATATAACAGTATCAAAGCAAAGCATGTTCAAGTATTAAGTACAATAATTTGCTGGATAAGCGAATGTAATAAACAAGCGCTGCATACAGATAAGATACGGAAGTGTTTAACTGCCATTTAACGCATCAATGACACGTGCCTAATGATATGTCATGTATCATTGGGCACTTTTAAGTACTGAAATTCTTAATCTTTTCTAGTGGGTATACGTACACCTGCGTATCTGGACTACACCACTGCATCAGAGGCAGTGAGGGGTTCAGTGTCTTGCCCAGGGACACTTCGGCATGTGACTGCTGGTGGAAATGAACCCCCAACTCTTGCATTAGAGGACGACTGCTCTAACCACTCAGCCACAGCCACCTCTTAACAATCTTATGTGGGCAAATACAGAAATCTGTAACGGCAACGTTAGCATGAATCTCACAGAGCTCCAGAATTTTCTCTCAGCTCAAGAACAGCGTTGTTCTTTTTTTTTTTTTCCATGCTTCTGATTCACCTGAGAAAAATGAAAAGCGCATTAACGCCGCAGATGAACGAACATGTTCCTTTGTCATTTGTTGCTGTGTGGGAGTTGTTTTTCTGAACCTAGCACCCTTTATCGTTTCTTTTAATGTGGCGGTGATTCATGAATTTTCAGCTTTTGGGGCTTTTGTAGCTGGTACTGGAAACGTGTGAAATGTTCATGTAAAGTCATCCTGTGTGTGTGTAAACTTGTTTTCCCGCAGGCTGAGTGAGGAGCAGATTGCCACAGTGTGTGAAGCTGTTCTGCAAGCACTGGCCTATCTCCATTCACAGGGAGTCATTCACAGAGACATCAAGAGTGACTCTATACTTCTCACATTAGATGGAAGGGTATAATATGTCATTTTATGCCCATTTATTTTTTTTCCTTTTCACTTATTTTGTGAGTAAATAGGTATTTTTGTGTTCTTTCCAGGTAAAGCTTTCAGACTTTGGCTTCTGTGCCCAGATTAGTAAGGACATCCCTAAAAGGAAGTCTCTGGTAGGGACGCCTTATTGGATGGCTCCTGAGGTCATTTCCAAATCACCGTACGGCACTGAGGTGAACATATTCAGCTCTTGTTCTCACAGATCAACACTGTTAATCTCAGTTAACTAGCTTAAACTGTGCCAGCTAGAGATTCACTGATTGCTCAGCAGGTGACTGGAATCAGCTGATGTTATGCTTGACCAGAGATCGGCCGATCAGGGGCTCAAAAATCACATTTTCTTTAAAAATGATGGAGCAGTCCTCTGGTGTCATAAGTCTTAGGTGTGGGAAGAGTGGGAAAGACTCAAATTAGCTATGTATAACAGATATAAGATGTTAAAAAAAATAAAGCTAGATGAAGATTAAGAGGTTTAAAATGTTAACTAAGCATTTAATCTGGTTCATAAAGTGAAAATTCAGTCATTTATGTTTTATAAATAGGCTACCTCTGTCATAACCTGAAGACTTTAGTAACATTTTCTTTTCCCAGTAGCACATCATCAACTTTTGCACTCAGAAGCAAAAAAAAAAGCAAACTTTATCTTGTGTGCTGTCAATTATCATTTGAATAAAAATAGGAATACTCAATAATGCTAACTAGCAAGTCAAAAACTGGTGATAGAAATCTAAAATCAGTGCATCTCTGGTGCCGACCTGTGCTGTGATCAGTTACAGTCGTTTTGTTTGTGCACCAGGTTGATGTGTGGTCCATGGGTATCATGGTGGTAGAGATGGTGGATGGAGAGCCCCCATACTTCAGTGAAACACCTGTAGCAGCAATGAAGAGGCTCAGGGATGAGCTAGCTCCGACTGTTCGAAATGTCAGCCAGGTATGAAGCGAACCAACAAGCTCACATGCAGACTGTCCTTTCTTTAAAAACTTATCTCTAATATAAATTCAAATGATTCTGGAGAGAGTGTTATCAGTTAAATACTGCACTGATGTGTCTGATGTGTGGTTCAGATCTCCCCAGTTCTCAAAGACTTCCTGGACCGCATGCTGACTCGGGACCCCTTGGAGCGGGCCAGTGCCACTGATCTGCTGGAGCACCCGTTCCTGCTGCAAAGCGGCTCACCTCAGTGCCTGGTCCCACTGGTGGAGCAGTACCGGAAACGCATGTCTCGTTGCTGACCCATCTAGGCCTAGAAGTCCACATCGGTCCTTTTCAGGCCTCCCAAAAGGACCAGCACCTGGTTCTGGCACCCACACCAAGCCCAAGAGAAGCGGATCATGGCAGCACTCTGCTTCCAGTGTGACGGTGGCACGACTTGTTGACAGACAACATGGCCTCGGGCATGCGAGAAGCACTTTAGGAGTGAGTTAAAGGGAGCATGCAAGTCCTCACCTCTCAGTTGATCAGATAATTGGCTTCCTTTAACATCCAGACAGCACAACATGGTGCACATCAAACTGATGGCATAAATGTATCATCCAAACGCACGCTACTCTAAAAACCCTTTATAGTGTTCGTAGTGGGCATTACTGCCAGCTAATTAAGCTGATGTTAGGCTCAACACAGTAGCTCATTGTGACAGGATTAAAATTACCTCTGCACACACACTGTTGTGGAAATTGGATGACAACACGGGTAATACACACATTTTGCATGGCCAAACTGAGGCACACCTGGCCTGATGTGAATGCTTGAATATGTACTATGATGTGAAAGACAATTCTCCTTTATTAGCATAATGAATGGGTGTATAAAAGCCCAGCTGCTACTATTGGGCTACTGGAAAAAATCGCCAGCACCACGTTCCTCTTTTTTATATTTATTCTTTATTTCCAAAAGGTGTTGTGAGCTGTTTGTATGATGTGAAGTTCCAAATAAGGTTTCATAATTAGGTATGGACTTTAAGCATAACTAATAATGTAGATACTGGTTATTAGGTCTTTAAGCCTGCTGATTGACTGCAGTAAATTATATTTACTAAAATGTGAGTGTATAGTTGTGTGTGTGAGGGCACAGGTGTGTGCCAGGCGACGTGTCATTGTTTGGATAAAACCCTCTTTGTATTGTGACAGATTTGAAACAGAAATCACAGGATGTGTGTGAAGATGATGTGTGTGTGAGTGTGTATTTGCACTTGTTTGCCTATGAAGCCCACAGGCTCGGCATGTCACGCTGCAGGACTCGAGAACCTGCTGAGAAACACTTTGCACACGGTCTTTGTGATCCGACACGGACACATGTGGACATGGGTTCATGTATTTTTATTCTTGTGTGGATCATTCATGGAGAAGAGAATTACATGTTTTAATTTTGTATGAATTAATAAACAATTAATCATTTAAAACTCATGTGACTAAATTGAAAACATACACAACACAACTAATTTAGTGGGGTTTTATTGTATTTATTAAACTTTGAGCGTGATTGCACAGACACAAGACATCTCTAAGCAAAATACATTTTTGTAAACACAGAGACACTAATAAATATATTTAATTCATATATAAATTTTATATTAAAAATTGAGTTTCAGTTGTGTGTCATATAGTTAAATAGACCATTTTACATTTAGGGTAACCAAAAAGTGTGCAGCTTTATGCAAATGAGCAATTAGCATAAACTTGGTTTTTATATATGAATATTTAAAATCAAACAGGAAAAAAAGCTAGAGAGTATAATTGTTATTAATATATTCATCAGATACCCAAGCAAATAAACAGCATTGTGAGATCCAACTGCAATAAAATAAAAAAATTCTCATTTATTTTGTCGGACATTGTCGTTTTATCTAATCAAAGGTGGACTGAGAAGAGTGGCTTTCAAATTCACACTTCACGGCGCTGATGCTGTCAACACTCGGCTGACCGTTGACCTGCTGGTGCGATTGTGACAGAGGGAACGTTTCAGAGCGGGACATCCGACTTCTTCTGCTCGAGGAGCCAGACGAGCAGTCCATCACCATCCTCATGAAGTCCGGCGCGGTGAACCGACGCAGAAGTCGGGTCCCGAGGCCCATGAACCCCGGAGCGTGGCTGGGGATCTTCTCTGCCTCTATCTCTTCTCGGGCAAAAAGTAGTTTGTTGGGTCTGGAAGTCGAGCCGAGGCTTCCCCTCTTCTGCAACTCTCTCCGGGTAAATTGAGCTGTGTAGTTAGCCTCTTCGTTCTGCGACTTCACATTCTCCAGGAGTGCTTTCACAGACTGCCCCTTGCTGTTTAAAAGAGGTTTTGGCACTGAAACAGTTTTGTTGCCATCATTTGTCAGGCTCCGAGTGTTCCCTTGACATTCCCTCTTGTCTATCAGGCATCGCTCATCCTGTAGCGAGGCTCTCTTTAATTTGCTGGCTGACAGGTTCGTGTCACACACATCACCCTGATAGGACTGCTTTCTGCTGCTCACGAGGTCCAGGTTAAATGACTTTGCCTTTCCCCAGAAAGGAAAACTCTCTGACGTTTGCTCTGGAAGTTGAGTGTCTCGGTTGACATTTTTCTGGCTTTGCTCAGGAAGAGAGTTCATTATTTTTGACCCCTTCGGCTCTCTAAGCTGGCAGTTTTGCAGCTGTTTGGCCGTGAACAGAACGCTGCGATCCGCCTCACTCTGAGTGTTTTCGATCTGAGGAGGCAGAGCCCAGCTGTGGCGATGATTATCCTCTTGACACTGGCTTCTAGTGCATCTGAAATGATGCCCCGATCCACCGCTGTCTCCTGTTTTCATTTGTTTCTGAAACACGTCTGGCAGCTGCTCGTCATTCGCCGACTGTTTGGAAAACCTCTCCAGAAGATGCCTCGGGAGCCGACTGGGCAGTTGGCACTCTACTTCAACGGTGGTGGCCACGTCAGCAAGTGGATCATCTTTGTTGGCAACCCTCCTGCAGGGAAAGTTCAAAACCTGGAGACACTGGTTGTGTCCAAAGAAGCTGGCAATCTCCAAAGCGGAGTGACCGGCATTATTGGTCCTGTCCAGCTTTAGTCCCAGTCTTTTGAAAGCTCTCACCAGGAACTCCAAAACTTGGCTGTGTCCAGAAAAAGCAGCATACATAAGAGGGCTGTTACCCCAGGCATCTGAGACGTCCGGGTCAGCATTGAACTGCACAAGAAGTTTGACCACGTCCAAGTAACCCATCTCACAGGCGTAGCTCAGGGCTGTGCGTCCGTCCTCATCCTGGCAGTTGACATTTGCCCCTTTCTCCAGCAGCAGTCTGGTGAACTTGGTTCTGGCTCCAGGGTCTTGCAGACAGACAGCGTATATGAGAGGGGTGCGGCTGTTTTCTGTCTTTGAGTTGATGATGCGCCCATCCAAGGCGTCCAGGATAAAGCGAGCCAGGTGGACTTTACCGCCATGCATTGCATCTAGAAAGGTCTTGGTGCCAGAGCCTTGGCGCAGGTCCTTTGGTCGCATCATTGTCCAACACCCACTTGTGGAGCTGAGCTGACAAACGGGGAGAGGAGGAAGTTTCCTGAAGCTCTCTGTGATGACAGCGAGCACATTCACTACAGAGTAAGACTCAGAGAGCAGCTGCCGGTGTTTTTATACCTCCCTCTCCACATGCCCTCCCCACGTTGCCTAGGAAACAAAGTCTGAGGACCATTATGCAGTGGCAGCATCCATTCAACCCAAGCACTCTCTGCCTGCAGAGAAATATATGCTATTTGAACAGAATAATTACTCAAGGAGACAAACATGGCCAGTGTTGTTCCTGTCAGGTCTGTGGGGGTAACTTAAAGCTGCATGGTTTTCTTTATTAAATGAGGAAAATGAATAAAAACGCTCCTTGCTGTTGATAAAATAGTAACATATACTCTTGGACAGAGTGTATGTGTGAAATAAATCTCTTATCAGAGAAGTTTGTTGAGTCTGTGAACAGGTTCGAGGCAAGATTAATGTCAGTTTTTCCAGAGTTCGCTTCAACATTTATCTTTTTTTTTTCTCTTCTCCAGCGTTTGTCATCCGTCAACCTTGTGTTTATGCCTGCAGTTCACTTCAGCCGCAAAACAACACACAGCAACGAGTTCAAATCACGCTACTCTCTAGTGCTTTGAGCTTCTCAAGGTTCCATATTTTGAAGAAAATGTTGTTTTTTTTGCCTGAAGGTCTTAAGCTAATCAACAGCAATAAAAAGGCAATGAAAGCCTTACAGAATTTATAAAAATAAAAACAGATGCTTTCCTTGATTCCTTTCAAATCAAGCTTTGCCGACTGCATCATAACATCAGCATCTTTTCCTTTGGAAGTAACACGGAGCTGCTTCCATATTTATTTTATTCTGTTGTGCATCTGGAGAAAACAGCAGATACAGCTTTTCTGCTTCTGCCTCTTTTGTCCCAACTAAATGACAAGTTAGATTTTTATTTGTCCATTTTACTTAAAGTATGCAACACTCATAAAAATAAGGAGTACTCACACATCTGGTTCTCCTTGAAAAGACCAGACTTTCATTTTAATTGCTGATATAAATTTCAGCTGGACCAAAAACCTGTGAGGAACACCTGGATTCCAGCTTGCACACCCTTCATCATCCGGCTTCATCCAACCCTCGGCGCGGCGGGTCTTTTATGTGCTGCTGCTTACCGAGCGTTAATTCATAAACCTTCATCAGCAGATGCTTCCTTCTGGTTAGTGTTCTGATATTACTTCTTATGTTTTGCCTTGGCATTGTGACTACTTGATAACTTAAATTGTTGATCTGAAGATCAGAGACGTGAAAGTAAGAGATCTTAAAAGTCTGCACCTAATTTTATTTCCAATTTTGAATATTTGTTCTAAAATAAAATAAGTATGAAAACTCTGTTACTTCACAGGTCTTGGTCATCCATCTAATGGAGTTTGTACATACTGTATATGTCATCGCAAAATACTTTAGTTTCACCAGCAAATCATCAGAGCTATTTATAGTGCTAAACTTAGAACATAAAATATTATTAATCTCAAACGATCGAATATAGGCACCTCCATGCACTTAAATGTGAAACGATTAAAATAAACGTGTCACTTCTGCATGACTGAAGCATTTCTAAATTGAGAAAAAGTGTGTTACTTGTAATAAAAGGCCTCAACGTAGATAACCAGAACAACAAAAAGGGCTGCTGAAACAAGAGTTGGAAAAATGTGAGCCTCTTTAAGGAGTAGTGAGAGCACATGTAGTTTCAGTTGACCTTAAAGTGACAGTGACATCAAATTTTTGTATTAAAAATGAACATTTTTTTTTTGTAAATATAACATTTATAACATTTAGTCAAAAAAGTTCCATGCTGCTGAGATGAACAGTTGTTGAGATATTTACATAAGCAATAACAGGAAGTGATGTCAAAGGGGTACACCTGCATGTGTTGCTACAATGGCTAACAACACTGACAGCAGCAAAGAATATGATGTTTCTTTAGATTATTCTGAATTACTATCAGAGAGAAATGAAGAGGGATCAAAGTTTTTAAAATATTATTTCACTTAACAAAGACCATGTGGTGCCCCTAAAGTTTGCTTTTGATATCACTTCCTGTTTCACTAGTTCAAAAGAAAGTGGGCCCGTTCAAGACAAAATGAGTAGAATAATGCGTTTTAATCCCTATTTCTTAAATATTACGATGTTATTGTCCACTTTTCGTATATGATTTGCATGTCACATGCACTTTTAAGTATGAAAATGTAAATAGATCTGTGAACCTCAGACGTTTATCATTTCCTCCTAAAATAAATTATTATACAACCTGGGTGAGAGCACACGATAAACCATAGAGGATGAAATTTAAATAGACAACTTTTATAATTCCATCCATCCATCCATGCATCCATCCATCCATCAATGCATCTATCCATAAATTCATCCATCCATCCATCATCTTCTGCTTGTTCCGAAGTCGGGTCGTGGGGGCAGCAGCTTGAGCAGGGAGGTCCAGACATCTCTTTCCACAGCCACCTCTTCCAACTCTTCTGGGCAGGGGCCAAGGCATTCCCAAGCCAACCAAAAGTCTCTCCAGCATGTCCTGGGTCTTCCCCGGGGTCTTCTCCCAGTTGAACATACCAGAAGCAACTCCCTAGGGAGGCGCCCAAGGGGCATCCTTACCAGATGCCCAAACCACCTCAACTGGCTCCTCTCGATGTGGAGGAACAGCGGTTCTACTCTGAGTCTCTCCCGGATAACTGAACTTCTCACCCTATCGAGTCCATCTACCCTACGTAAGAGACTCATTTTAATTGCCTGTATCCATGATCTCATTCTTTCTGTCACTACCCAGAGTTCATGACCATAGGTGAGAGTAGGAACGTAGACCGACCAGTAAACAAGGAGCTTTGCCTTACAGCTCAGCTCCCTCTTCACCACAACGGACCAGTACAGAGTCCGCAATACTGCAGATGCTGCACTAATCCATCTGACAATCTCACGCTCCATTCTTCCCTCACTCCTGAACAAAACCCCGAGATACTTGAACTCCTCCACTTGAGGCAGAACCTCACCCTCGACCTGAAGAGAACAATCCACCCTTTTCCAGTTGAGGACCATGGCCTCAGTTTGGAGGTGCTGATTCTCATGCCAGCTGCTTCACACTCGGCTGCGAACCACTCCAGTTAGAGCTGAAGATCATGGCACGATGACGCCAACAGGACCACATCATCTGCAAAAAGCAGAGATGGAAACCTGAAGCCACCGAACCAGAATCCCTCCACCCCCTGACTGCACTGAGAAATTCTGTCCATAAAAGTTATGAACAGAATCGCTGCCAATGGGCAGCCATGGTGAAGTCCATCTTCCACCCTGAAGGGGTCCGACTTACTACCGGCAATGCAAACCAAACTCTGCTTGTATAACGATTGAACAGTCCGTAACAATGGACCCTCAATCCCATACTTACAGAGCACCCCCCACAGCGTACCCTGAGGAACACAGTTGAACGCCTTCTCCAAGTCCACAAAATGCAGGTAGACTGGATGGGCAAACTCCCATGACCCCTCGAGGACCCTAGTGAGGGTAAAGAGCTGTCCACGCAACGTTGCAAAGGCTTGTCAGCCAAGACAGCCCCACAACATACAGAGCCTTAATGAAATCATGGTGAACCTAATCCACCCCCGGAGACCCTTTTATAATTTATTTATCAAATTATAAGCTGATCTATTCTTTGTTTGTAAGGGGTTGTAAGAACAAGTAATCCAGAATAAGAATTATTAAAATGCCACCCCAGAATCACAAAAGCTGTTGTATAAAAATAAAAGAAATAAAAGTGTGACTTTGCAATAATTTGAATTCAATAGAGCACCTTGAGGTATCTCAAGGAGAATGGTTTCATTTAGAAGCATGGAGAAAAAAAAAGGTAGAAAATCTTCCCAGGCCTTCAACAGAGATCCTTATAATGGCATTTTCTGCTATAACTGTTACGGGACGCTTTCATTGCTCTTCAAAGCAAGACGTCTTTTTTTGACACATAAATAATACAGTTAGTGACGACGTTTCGTTTAATCAGAATTGTAAATTTAACCAGATATTTTTCCCTGCAGGATTTATTCTCAATGTCACACTATTTTCTCAGGTCTTGATTGTGATGTACTGTATTTACAATTTGGCCAAAATACATCACCAAGGCACTTTTGTGCAGTTTGTTAAAATAACATTTATCTTACCGGTTGCTTTTTGGACCCATAGAGTTAGTTCTCTTTTTTTTTTTTTTTGTTCATGTAATGTCTTTGATTCACACTCACAAAAATCACATTTCATGAATCTTTAGCCTTCCCCGTTTACATCAGCAAAAAAGAGAGTTCAAACTAACATTCAGCGAGGTTAGGAAAACAGCTTTCTTTTCAAATACACACATTCCCCCTGACTGAAATGAAGTCATGTCATGTGCAGCAAGTGTGATTCTTTTTAAGGCTAAATTTTGTTGTGAATCACGTCGGTGTGTCCAGTTATTTAAACCTTCCACCTCAGATACAAAGTGAATAACGAGCCAAGGCAAACCACTGCTCAGCTTTATAAACCTTCAGCTCCAATGTGGGACCATTTGTCTGTTTTTTTTAGAGGTAGAAAACCTGTTTAGATAGTTTTAAACAATGCTGACTGTTAATTGTCTTCATGACTTCTGCCAGTGGTGTGTTCAATGACGGATAGATAATCTAATTTAGTTCATCTAGTTGGAAAAGACAGGTCTGATTATTTGTTTAGGAATACGATTAATAACGGTTATAACTAAATGGTTAGATTTTCTAAAATAATGAAAAATGTGTAACTTTTTATTAAAAATATGAGGTGCATAAAAAAATAAGCAAGAGTAAAAATAAATGAATAAAGGTGGAAGGTTTGGGGTGCCGTTTGTAAAGTTACACAGTCAAACATTAACAGCAATATTTTGGTTTATTTAGCCTTTCATAAGAAAAACATATTTTTTTCCAGTCATATTTTCACCATGTTATTCATAAATTTATAAATGTTTTTTGATTATTATTATTATTTACCCTTTATTTATACAGGTAGTCTCAATGAGTCATGAGGACTCATTTTTAAGAGAGA